CCCCGCACCAGCCCTCCTCCCTGCGTCGGCCTCCCTCGCCCGCGCCGACCCTCCTCCCCGCCGGCCGCCCTCCCCTACGTCGGCTTCCTCCCCCGTGCCAGCCTCCTCCCACGCTGGCCCTCCTCCACCAAGAGGTACATCCTCCTCCCTCCTTCCTCCTCCTCCCTAGTCTTAGTTGTTTAATCATAGGAAAAGGTATATAGTATGAAACCTAGCTGCTAGTTCATCTTAGGATAATGTAGTATGAATCTTAGGATAATGTAGGTCTTTTTATCTTAGTTGTTTAATTAGGCGATTAATCTTAGTTGTTTAATCTTAGGATAGTGTAGTATGAACCCTAGCTAGTTAATCTTAGGATAATGTAGTATGAATCTGAGGATAATGTAGTATGAACCCTAGCTAGTTAATCTTAGGATCATATTTTGAACTATCACATTTGTTGTAAAAATTTTAGTAAAAACAATTATTCTTGTTATATGCAAATTTGAAGTGGATATATGTCATATTTTGAAGATGTCACAATCTTAGTTGTTTAACCGAGTGGCCTATGTTTTGCCAGAAATGTCGATTCGTTTACGTTCTGGCAAATTTCAGGCGCTCGATATGACCTTCTTTTAGCAAAGGTCATGCCGAATTTTGCTAAGTGTTTATTAATTTTGTTTTCATAATTAAGCATTTTGTTATCGACGTCGACGATGCCTATCCCGCATCCTCGTCGTCGACTCGGCGGAGGACTCCTGCTTGAGCCGAGGGGCCATGTCAGGGACTGGGCTCCACCGGGTTGGTACTGGGTTGTGCTACCTTCTTGTAAGCGCAGCTTAGTGAGGAGCCAGCCCATCGTGGACCCGGAGCTTCTTTGGTGAAAAGCTAGGCTCAACCGACCGATTTTACCCTAACATCCGCCGCGTTCAACGTCTACCACGCGTCTTCATGGGCCCGCACACCGCATCTTTTCTTTCATCCGTGTATCCACTGAAACGCTATCCACACATATTCTTGCAACTAAGCATCTGTTTCAAAAAGCACACCGCAACAAGCGGTCTGGTTCGGACCCACTAGGCGAGCATGCATGGCAGGGCGACCAAGTCGGCTGGGCCCGAGCGTTCGCCGTCGAAGCCACCTAGGTGCCGAAAGGAAGACCCACACAGCCTATGCCGCGGCGCGATCCCAGCCAGAGGTCCCCGTCACCAGGGACGAAGCGGGTTCAGGAACAGCGTCACGACACCAGCGGGTCAGCCTCGCGCTTCCGTTGCCATGTCTGCCAGGCCATGCAGCGCATGCCGACGAGTTTCTGCAACAACGATGGAGTTGCAAAACGGCTGAGGACAACGACGAACGTGTTGCTACGACATCTTTTCATTGCAAACAAAAAAAATCTGCAACATTATCCATGTTGCAAAAGTTCTTTCCGCGACATATCTTTGTTACAAAAAGGTGAAGCTGGAAAAACAGAATTGCGTGACACAACTGAGCCACTAGGCGACCAAGCCGGCTGGGCCCGAGCGTTTGCCGTCGAAGCCACCCATTCATAATTGTATGATGAGGTGGCATGCTTGCATGTTGAGATAAATAAGTTAGTGAGGATAACCCTCTTAGGTATATATAGTATGTCGCATAGCACGAACGTGAAATTCCATCTCTAGTTCAAGCAATGGCCGGCCTTTGTTATATATTCTTGACAAGATTAGCAAAGCCGTCATATTGTAACCATCCCAATTTAAATCTGAATGGACATCATGATATAGATGTGATATATATGCTTGCTGCCCATGCCAAGGAAGAAGAATGACAAATTGGCTACGAGAGACGTAGAATTAAGTAATTAAGCAGTGAGAACTGAGAAGGCTACTTGTTTGATCTTAATTAGGAGTGCGTTTGCTTCTGCAGTTGCTCAACACTGCTGCTAATGTGTGCTCTAGAAGAAGAATAGCGTGTCTGAACTCCAAAGCATATACACACGCGTACGTGCTGAACAATTACTGGTCGATCTCTTCCATCTCCTGCCGTACGTACGTGTGCTGCATATTACTTGAGCCAGCCAGCCACACGTACGGTACTGCTGCTATGAATCCTCCTCGCAAGACGATGACCCTGCATGTTGACAATTGCCGCCTGCTTTTGAGCCCAATGAAGTGTAGTTATGTACTTATGTTGACACTGATCAAGTACACTAAAGTATAGCCCGATGAGCTAAGTAAGGAGCCATCCAATTTTGAATGAAAGTTATCAAGTACTGCACTTCACATACTTATCGCCAAATCTGCCAACTATCACCTGCTTTTGAGCCCAATGAAGTGGAGTTATGTTGACACTAACTGAGAATACTAGCAAGTATAGTACCAATGGACTGAGGTAGTATTTCTATGATGGAGGGAAGGCGTGTATATATGGAGCCACAGCCATGCTAATTGATGAATAAATCTCAAGTAGTAGCATATCTCACACTGCTGATAACAATGTCAATTATGCTCATCTCCACATTCCTCGTTCTACTTGTTCCAGTTTGCTTGTATCTCAGGGCTAGTTGTAGATCAAAGAACCCAGCCGTGCTTCCCACAGACTGGCCAATACTGCACATGTTCCCTTCCTTCATGGCCAACCTCCACAACCTCTATGACTATTTCACCCTGGTCCTCGCAAGATCAGGCCACAACTTCAGGGCGCATGGACCACCTGGCACTGGGATGCGCCTCTTCATCACATGTGACCCTGCGAACGCCGACACATCTTCACGACAAACCATGCCAACTTCCCCAAGGGCACGGAATTCGCCGATATCTTCGACATCATGGGTGGCAGCCTCTTCACCATCGACGGTGAGCCATGCCGCCGACAACATGCGAAAGCCAAGAGCATGCTCAGCAGCCCGCGGATCGTTGCCAGTATGGCGGCCTACCTCTGTGGCAAGGTGGAGAACAACCTCCTCCCTTTGTTCACCCGCATGGCGATCGCCGACACTTCATTCGACATGCAAGAATTGATGTCGAGGCTTATGTTTGACCTGGCTGCTACGCCTCTCTTCGGTGTGGATCCAGGGCTCCTATCCTCAGACATGCCACCCATGGACGCAGCGGTTGCCCTGGACATGGTGATGGAGGTGGGATTTTTTAGGCTCATGATGCCAGCTTCTTGTTGGAAGTCGATGAGGTGGCTAAATATCGGCCCTGAGAGAAAGCTTGACACGGCACGCATGGTGCTACGAGAGCTCGTCCGGGAGATGATGGAGAAGAGGAAGATCACCACATGTCATTTTGGACATGGCAAGGAACAAGAGAGTGTGGATATTATTTCTTCCTTCCTCGAAGACCCAGACTACGCCAATGTTGACTTGCTCCATGCGGTGATCATTAGCTACATGCTCGCTGCGAGGGACACAATTGCCACAACCCTAACATGGATCTTCTACAACCTTGCCCAAAACCCTAACATCGTGTCAATCATCCGCAACGAACTTTCACCCATTGCATCACGCAAAGTAGCGGTAGGAGTGTGTACCCCAGTGATCTTTGAGCCAGAAGAGACCAAATCTCTAGTATATTTGACAGCCACCTTGTACGAGACTCTCAGGCTGTACCCACCAGCGCCTGTCTTGCGCAAGACGGTGGCCGTAGATGACATCATGCCGAGTGGCCATGAGGTGCATGCCGGTGACACCATTTTTATTTCTGTCCACTCCATGGGGAGAATGGAGGCTGTGTGGGGTAAAGACTGCCTCGACTATAACCCACATAGGTGGCTCTCGGATGATGGCAACAACCTGAGATATGTACCATCTCACAAATTCTTGGCATTCAACTCAGGCCCGAGAATGTGCCTCGGCAAGGACATTGCAGTTATGCAAATGAACACTGTCATTGCTACAACGGTGTGGAACTTCGATGTGCAACTGGTGAAAGGGCAGAGGATACAGCCCAAGCCGTCCATTATACTGGAGATGGAAAATGGGCTCATTGTTAAGTTGAAGAAGCGAGAAATGTAATAGACTCTCATTGTATGTAAACGTACTTACTTGCCGGCCACTAGGGCAGTTCTACCCGTTACCACATTATAGTCAAATAATAAAGGCATGCATGCATCGAAATTTATATTTTTTTACGAAAAACAACCAATGTACCACCATTTATTACTCCTGTTGTATGAGACACGGTATAAAAGCATCGAGACCTGGTGATTCCTCCATATTGTATGTGACTATCTACATGTGACATGTTGCTAGTATGTGGAACTGACCCAACCGGCTGAAAGATGTTTTCCCAGTAGATAGGCACAGCCTCGAGAAGCCGAACATCCCCATGGAACATGTACGGGTGCTTAACAGAATAATGGAACCAATTGATCGATGAACGAACAGTCTTGCTTCAAATCTTGGCTGGTAACTAGCTATTACACAACTTGCCAGCATCTAGACTTCACCGGTAGGCATGTTCAACATCATAGCGGATATGCTCGCTATACTCGTTGAAGGGGCTAAAGGGACTGGACAAATTAGTGGTACAGTTCATCATTTAGTAGTAGATGGTTTATCCATTCTACAGTACGTGACACCATTCTCTTTGAGGATAAAGCAAGAAACCTCAAGCTCCTTCCATGCTTTGCCTTTGAGGATCTTTCGAGTCTTAAAATTTCTGTGAGAGTGAACTTTTCTGTTTCGAAGAGGCCACAGACTCGCGTTCAGGTACGTGAAGATCTTAATTGAACCAGAAGAAACAATTCCATTGCTTTATTTTCTTCCTGATCACAAATAGTTCTATGCTCTTCGTAGGAAGCATGTGGCCTTGTGTTCTCTCTTTAAATCACGCATGTGAGGTCCCCGATTCAATCGTACACTAATCATACACACAAATGTGTACGATCAAGATCGGGGGCTCACGGAAAGATAACACAACACAACACTAGACACAAATTAAAATAATACAAGCTTTATATTGCAAGCCAGGGGCCTCGAGGGCTCGAATACATAGCTCGATACACAAGAGTCAGCGGAAGCAACAATATTTGAGTAAAGACATAAGTTAGACAAGTTTTGCCTTAAGAAGGCTAGCACAAAAGTAGCAAAGATCGAAGAGGCAAGGCCTCCTGCCTGGGATCTCCTAACTACTCCTGGTCGTCGACGGTCTCCACGTAGAAGTAGGCTCCGTCGGGGTAGTAGTAGTAGTCGACGGGGGCAGCATCTGGCTCCTGGGATCCACCATCTGATCGCAGCAACCGGGTATAGGGGAAAGAGGTAGCAAAGCAACCATGAGTACTCATCCAAAGTACTCACAAGCATCAGATCTATTCTAAGTATGCATCAGTGTCAAATGGAAGGGTTGTATCACTACTAGGGAAAAGCCTAGCAGCAGCGCGGGTTTTAGGCCTATCAGTAGCGCGGGCAGGAGCGCTACTGATAAGGCGCTACAGCTAATGCTTAGCAATAGCGCGCCTAGATCCACACTACTGCTAAATTGACTTAGTAGTAGTGCATTGTCATAACAACGCTACTGGTAATTAGTAGTAGCGCTTCCCCTTTCCCGCGCTACTACTATTATTTAGTATTTTATTTCTTTTTTATTTCATGTTGTATTCATACACCTTTACACAAGTTTTCATACAACAGGAATTTAGAGATTGTTTTTACATCATAATAAGTTATTACATCACGGGGTGAAAGAACCGTGGACTAGTTTCAAGTGGATGTCCATCCACTTGAAACTAATCCGCGGTTCTTTCACCCAATGATATAATAATATCATCATCATCATCGTATCATTAACAACTTATCATCATAATACATCATTGTCATATAACACCTCATTATCAAGTACTCCTCATTATCAACTCTAACACATTACCACATAATAAACATATTGTACCTCATAGGACCTACTACATTCGATTAAGACCTACTACATTTTCTAAGGTAAAATACCAAAAAACAAGATAGCCCCTGACCCTCCATTATGGAGAATGGAGATTAGCCTGTCTCCAATTCTTGCCTTTCGCTGAATGTTACTTCCAAGAACCTCCTTGCGAATGTCCATACATTTCTTCCATTCTTTGATGAACATGTGTTCACGGGTTTTAGAAATCCGATATGCACAGGTGAGCTCCATAGATTTACCTGACAGTATGTTCAAAACTGAGAGGCGACCATGCAGAGACATCAGATGAGGCACACAATCCATCGGGAGTTTCTGTTGAAAAACATAATAATAACTTCGTAGTTAGCAATGATGTACTAGTTTTAGAAGTATGCAAAAGATGCACGGATGTCGTAATAGTAAAAAATCTTTCCAGGGTATCTCCAGAGAAGTTACCGTGGTTCAACACATGCACTAGTGGCACGTATTCACCATAATTTGGAGGAGTTCGATAATAGTTATTGTAATTCTCAAGAAGAGTACAAAATGCGATCAGATGATTTTTCTCCTTATACGTTAATTCGGTGCCATCGGTGTAGTGGGTTTTATCTACCATCTTCCGCACAGTCTTTGAAGAATCAAAATAAGCTGTCAATGGAAATAAGCTATCAACTATTTTGAAATAAACAATATAAGTTAGTTAATAACTATTTTTGAGAAACTCACATAGCGGTACAATCGGAAGCGTATCAACAAGGACCCAAATGTCCATATTGTCTTGCTCGATGTCAGGATCACCAAGATCCATGGTGACAATCATACCCTCATAAAAACCATACAGTTTGCAAAGTGCTTCCCAATTTTGGCAACCAAAATGGGTTACGCTCTGAGCATTGCACAGATTTACTTCAAAATCCATGTCATGATGGGTCCTTAGGTGTATTTTCTTTGTTTCGAAATTTTCATGGTCTTCAAAACGCATCCTCTCCAAGACATAGTGTCTTGCATGGCATGGGATAAGCTAGTCGAATTGTAAAATATGAAAATTAGATGTTGGAATAGTTGAAGTCATGCTTAATTACGAAAAAAACACTTGTCGTTGTTGCGTACCGTTTCACAATCGAAGGTCTCCTCGAGCTTAATGCTGAAGCACCGATCTTCGTCCAGCTGAACGAACCTGTCGCACATACCTCGATCGTCGTGGCACCAGCTACACTCCCCTGGGAGACTATCGTCGTCCGAGTACGACATTTCCTACGTTCATAATTCAAAGATTAAACTTCTACATATTCTAGCACAAGTCATGCCAGAATTCACGAAAAAATCCAGCATGACCTTTGCTAAAAAAGGACATATCGAGCGCCTGAAATTTGCCTGAACGGAAATTAATCAACACTCCGGCAAAACATAGGCCACTCGGAGATGTAAACTGAACATGAACGGCCACTTGGGCAACCACATATCCTATTTGAGCAACAACACAAGATATACAAGGATATTTGGCTGGACTCACCTCGATGTCGGAGGGGGTCGGTGACTGGGACGACGACGGGGATGTCGGAGGGGGTCGGTGACGGGGACAACGGTGGTCACCTGAAACCATATAAGTTATCACTAATACATCCCGAATAATTGCTTAAACTAAAAAATAACAACAAATATGACATGTTCAACTAGTTTTATTAATTCAACTAGTTCTTACTAAATATAAACTTACTATAAATAGAAAAAAACTAGTTCTTTCTAAAAATAAAGTAGTTCAACTAGTTATATTAATTATCTTACTAAAAATACATTAGTTCTATTAATTCAACTAGTTCAACTAGTTTATTAATTTACTTACTAAACTAGTTCAACTACAACTAAAGTAGTTCAACTACAACTACTATTAATCATACTGCCCTAGTTAACTAATACCATCACTACTAGTAATTAACATCTACTACTACTAAAAATCTAGTACTAACTAAGCAACATCTAGTACTAGCTACGAACCCTAAATTAACATCTACAACTACTAAATCTAGTACTAACTAGTGGCAGGGGGTGGGGGCGACGGAGAGGTAGCTAGGGGCGGCGAGGTCGAGAGTGGTGGGAGGAGGGTTGCCTGTGGAGGAGGGAGGACGGGCGGACGCAGCCGGAGGGAGGAGGGCGACAGCGGAGGAGGAAGGGGCGGCCACAGGCGGAGGGAGGATGTGCGAGGAGGAGGGAGGAGGGACGGAAGGAGGGGAGTACCTCGGCGGCGGACGGACGAAGGCGACGGCGGCGGCGACACACGACGACGGTTATTGGCACGGGGGCGAGAGTGAGAGTGTGAGTGAGGGCCAGTTGTGCGCGTGGGGATAAGGTAGGGATAGTTGTAGCGCGTTTGCCAAAACGCGCTGCAGCTAATCTAAATAGCAGTAGCGCTTTGCATATAAATCGCTACTGCTAAGTGTAACTATACAAAAAATACGTCAATGCAAAAATACATTGGCCATCAATGATCTTTTTGTGTACAATCTGAATTGTCAATATGAGTCCTCTCCGGTAGGAACCGGAGAGGACTCATATTGCGGCCACAAATTTTACACATAGAGTTCAGTGAAGACCAACTGGTTGTGGTAGTTTCAGAAATAACATATTTAAGGTGGTAAACACACTGTTCACGGAGCGAGGTGGGACTAAACTTGTGGGCTGATCTTAGCAGTAGCGGTTTTCCTAGAAGCGTGCTGCTGCTAACTTCTATAGCAGTAACGTTGTTCAGTATAGTGCGATACTGCTATAACTAGCAGGGGGCGAGGTCATGGAAATTATAGCAGTAGCGCTGTTTGCGGTGGACGCGCTACTGCTATTTTCCTGTCAGCAGCACGTTTCGGTAACACGCGCTGCTGCTAAGTAGCAATAGCGTGGTATTTTGGGGAGCGCTGCTGGTAAGATTCTGTGTATAGGCTTTTCCCTAGTAGTGTATCTGTGGACTGAACTACAGAAAGCCAGAAGAGAAGGGGGGAAGCCTAGCATAACGAAGACTAGTATCTTCAAGCAGCTCCAAGCATCTTGCAGCATTCAGAAGAGTACATAATAGCATTTTAATTAACAAGCATGTTGTAGCATTAATGCCTAGAGATCCTTTCTCAACTCCCTCCGAGAAAGCAATCTC